ATATTGAGGTTTTCTTTATTTTATTACCCCAACAGTTTCATATTTATTGTTGAACAACCTCATTTGAAAAGAATAAAATGATTCAAGGAGTTATACAGGCAAACTACTTAAATTGACATGAAATTCACTTAGGTGATTCGGAAATTAACAATATCTGGTTTTATTTGTGCAATTATCCAGTTACTGTGAGATCTTCCTTGAAAATTTTAGTTAGGTTACTGTGGGATGCATGCCTTTCATTGTTGATCCACCTTCATTTGTCAGTTTGAAGCTGTTGTGAACAAGAAATTGATAGCTATGAGCAATTCTTTTTCTATGTATGATGTCACTTCAGGACAATGGTGATCACAGCTTTGTACCATTCCCTTTTCTGGGATGTGGAGTTATTTACACTATATACATTCAAACTATAGTCCTCATCTTTGTCATTATCAAAATATTTCATTTATTGCGCCCTCTAGCCTTCATCAGTTGTATATCGATCTGAGTAATCTACAAGGAAATCTCAGCTAAATCCTTTATTTAATCTATAGGGTTAGACTGTTCTCTTACTATTACTCATATCTAGGGATATCTCATCTAGTTCTTATTTTAGTACTCCTCAGTTATTGCCCACACTCTTTCCACTGAGCTCAAGTACACACTGCCCAGCACAGGAAATGAACTCACAATTATTATGCCACCAAATTCATGAACCAGTACGTTAATCCACTGGGATAATGTTGCAAAGCATTGGGCTGATTCTAAGATAACAGAGAAATGGTACACAGTGTTCCACAAATTCTCCAGACATACGTTCTCTAGTCTAAATTCAGACTGTTTCTTCTCTAAGATTGGTTGATACCCAAGGCAAAGACGTCCAGTCTGTCTTGTTATTTAACTCATAGCTGGAGAAAGATGTTTTCATATCTTTTCCAAGAACAGTAGAACAAAATTAATACACTTGGGTGTTGGGAGAGTGTGTGTGTCTGTATGTATATATATTTCTCACATATGTGACTTTTGAAAACCTAATACTGAAGCTAATTTTAAGGGAGCAGAATCATACATAAGAAAGATATAAGATTAGCCTATGTACTGCTGGCCCTGGCTACACCTTTATTAAAAAAAATTTAACATATGTTATTAAAATCACTACAAAAATAGCCATGTTGTTTCAGCAAAACTACATTCAACATCATCACTTGATAAGACATCAGAAGTGTTGAAAAAAAATGGCTATTTTTGTAGTGATTTTATAACATTTATGTTATAATTTTCAAATAAATTATATTTGCTCTACTCTGTATTGAGCACTCTTTTAAGAATAGTATTTTTTAGCTATTGGAATTTATTCTGTATACCCCAATCCTATACTTGGATATATATATATTTCTTACATATCATGTGACTTTTGAAAACCTAATATTGAAGCTAATTATAAGGAGGCTGCATCATACCCAAGATATAAGATTAGCCTATGTACTGCTGGCACTGGCTACACCTTTGACCAAACTATATATCCATTTACTGTAGTCATATTAGCTTCAAAATTAGGTCTTCAAAGGTTACAATATGTGAATATATACTGTGTGTGTATAGATTATATTACATATGTACTAACACATTTATAAGATATTATGTTAATCATATTTTGTTTAACATAATATCTTCTATACCTGAATCATTTATTTTACATGTTATTCTGGGCTCCTTGACATTCTATAACTTTCATGAGTCTTTCAACCATATTTTAACTTGAACATTTCTTGCCTTGAATATAAATAACAAACAATAAGTGTTTAAATAACACTTGCAATGTTGATTTGTTAAAATCATGAACAATAGAAAGCTACCTTTTTTTTTTGTAATGAGTGTCTTTCGTCATGTAACGGAAAACAGGTTTTGCTGAACATTGCTAGTAAGTCGAGTCCTCACCGAGTGCCCCATTATAGTTGTCTGGTGCCAGACAAAACCAAGATTAGTAGATATCTACTTTGGCATTTGGAATAGAGAAAGAATAGTTAATATCCTCAATCAATAACCAACAATTGAAATCTTTAAGAATTCTGTGTTTATCAGTTTTTCTCTCTAAGCAATTGGAGAATATGATACATAAACCTCCAGATATCAGAACAATTTTAGGTAAACGAATGACAAAGTGGAAAAAGTTTATGCAACTGACCTTGTCCCCTAGAAGGACCCCATCAGAATAAAGTAATCTTTTTGTTGATGGAACTTTACATCTGTAGCAGAGGGGGGGGGATAAAAAGGTAAGCATCAGTTACAACCATGCGTCAACAGGAAATACTGAAGATGGAACACTGAGATGAGGAAAAAAAATTTTTTCTTAATTTGTTGATTTGGAATTTCACTCTTCCAACATCTTCAGTATTTCCCATAGGAGCATGGCTGTAACAAATGCTTGCATATTTATATCTCCCCCTCCTAAACAGTATAGTTCCAACAACAAAAATATTGGTCCAATGAGGATCTTCTGGAGAACAAGGTATATGACATGGACTTTTTTTCTACTTTTTCATTCTCCAAACACTAAATTCAAACCTTGCATTGTATGCGGACATGTTTGTACAACAGCAGTTACATTTGGGTTTTTCCCCATTAGGAGTGGGACAATTTAGCATGTTTAGATATGGGATCCTCTGTAATATTTCAAGATCAGGGTCTTTTGTCAGATGTCTCATGCAAATACAAGCTGGAAGAAAACCAGGGTATTTTTGTTCCTCAAGTAATGTAGCTTCCGAGGCACTGTTATCTGCCTGTTACCCTCATAGTTAGTGAGAGCACAATCAGTTAAGTGTTCCCCCCCCCCCCGCAGTCTCAACAGGCACTTTACTTACATAACAACAGCTTTCTCTAAGTCTTCTTTCCTTATAATGCTTTCCTTTCTTCAGGTAAGCATTTGTTATTACTACTATTAAAATGTTTCAGCTGATCTACACTCTGGTTAACTTTTATAATTTAAGTTAAACAGAGCAGATCAACTGGAAGACTGTTGAAACTGATAGCCTTGAGGGAAATTCCCTCCTCGCTGCTTTGGTAACTGAATTCCAAGAAGATGCTTCCCTAATCACTACAATTTTAACCTCTTCAATCTAGGATCAACCATTATCTTCCCTATATATCCCCATAAACTGTACCTCTTATTCTGCAACATTCTACCTCGAGTTGCTCTTGGGCCTTGTTAAAGGTGAATATTATTGTAAAAAAGAAAAAAAAAGGAAAAGTTGTAACATGTCAAAATTTTTCTTTTTTTTTTTTTACAGAACATAAATTATAATGGGGAAATTACCAATGGAAAAATTCACTACAGAACCAAAAACTAAAATCATTATAATTCTATTTTAGACTTGACTAATCCATCATTCACACCTAAAGAGAATACTACCAACAGTTCAATGCCAGAAAATCATCAGTGGATTTCATGATTAGTCAGTTGATTCAATATTTTAGACAATATAGTTCAGGAAGCAACTTGCCACAAAGAAGACCCCATGTATAGATCAATAAACCCAAACAATTCAGCAACTTGAGGATAACATCTGTGCAGAAATTCAAGGTTTGCAGCCAGAGTTATTAACTGCTATTATGAAGAATACTACCAAAAGAGTGCATTTGTGTGAAATTGAAAATGGAAGAAATTTATGTCATACAATTTTTTCATAATTAAATGGGTATATATCTCCTGTTTGAATTTTCGCTCTGTATAAATCTACCCTTGAATATTAAAATTGTGGAAATTATATTTTTAAATCCTAATTGCTTTTGGGACACTCCTGAATAACCATCATGCAGAATCAATTAGAAATAAAATAGCTTCCAAGATTTCAACTTGTGTTCTGTATTCTGGGGAGCCTTGGCCAACACCTTACCAATTAGGCTGCAAATATCATTCAAATTTAATCAGATAGCTAAAACTATTTAAAACTAATAACATGCTTTATATAAGAATTCAGACAATAGTATGATAATCCGATTTTCTTGCATTAAGTATTGTAAGTACTGCTGATTGTTTATACACAGTTCATACCTGCCTATCAAAGTTTGATTTATAAATTAGACACAATAAAATCAAACACTTATAACAACATAGTGTAATAAAATATGTGATGGACAGATTCAATCTTAGCATAAAATTTTACTTTCTTTCTTGATTAAGTTGACAAGTTTTATCTTCTCACATAAAATCTTCACTGCATGACTTCTATTCAGGACATCCAAATTGTCATTATATAAAATAAATTACTTGCACTCTAGGACCATTATCTTATTTGAAAGCATATTATATAGCTTCCCATTTACATTTAATATAACAGTGGTTTTGGAAGTAGATTTTGTATAAGTACTGGTAGCAGTCAATGGCAACTGACTAGATATTAGTCGACTTACTCCAACTTTATATATTAACCCTATCCCAGGTGAAGGGAGGGAGCTTTTTTGCCTATGCACAAATTTTAATTGATGCTGTTCTTTTGTATTTCAGGCACTGATTTGAAACTCCAGATATGTTACTAAAAATAGGATCTGAGTCATCAATTGCCATGGTGTTAATTAACACCTTCTGTTTCCCTTGTGAACATGCAAGGGACCTTTCCCAGTTTTTGTGCATACACACACAAGTGAGAATATAGATGCAACATCAGGTTAGTTGATAAGTGAAAAGCTGAGAGCAGGATCTGTGCTATATTTACAAATGGCTCCCTGCAAAAAAAGAAAAATGATTTTCTAATGAAGTGATTTTGAGAACTGGTAAAATAGCTAAAATAAAGACATGGGAAAAGATGAGTAACTTGACAGATCAGCCAGTTGTAATAACTTGAGCTATTAAATAGTACATACAGATCAAAAAGTTACGACCAACAGAGGTTATGTGAAAATAAGTCAATAATACATCTATGACAATGTGGGAGGGTAGAAACATGCCATGTGCTCTTCATCTCTTCATTTCATTGGATAAGGCTTACTGAAAGCAAGAGGGCATAGAATGTGGAACCTTACATCTAAAATATACTATTTTGCTCCTCACTAACTTTGGCAATGTACCAGAAGATACTAATATTCTCGGACTCATAAACGATGCCCATCACATTAGATAGTGAGTGGCGTATACTAATGCTAGGATCAGAGAGAGAGAGAGAGAGAGTGGCATATACTAATGCTAGGATCAGAGAGAGAGAGAGAGAGAGAGAGTGGCGTATACTAATGCTAGGATCAGAGAGAGAGAGAGAGAGAGAGAGTGGCGTATACTAATGCTAGGATCAGAGAGAGAGAGAGAGTGGCGTATACTAATGCTAGGACTAATGCTAGGATCAGAGAGAGAGAGAGAGAGTGGCGTATACTAATGCTAGGATCAGAGAGAGAGAGAGAGAGTGGCGTATACTAATGCTAGGATCAGAGAGAGAGAGAGAGAGAGTGGCGTATACTAATGCCAGGATCAGAGAGAGAGTGAGAGAGTGGCGTATACTAACGCCAGGATCAGAGAGAGAGAGAGAGAGAGAGAGAGAGAGTGGCACACACTAACGCCAGAATCAGAGAGAGAGAGAGAGAGAGAGAGAGAGAGAGAGAGTGGCGCATACTAATGCCAGGATCAGAGAGAGAGAGAGAGAGAGTGGCGTATACTAATGCCAGGATCAGAGAGAGAGAGAGAGTGGCGGCACTAATGCCAGGATCAGAGAGAGAGAGAGAGAGTGGCGTATACTAATGCCAGGATCAGAGAGAAAGTGAGAGAGTGGCATACACTAATGCCAGAATCAGAGAGAGAGAGAGAGAGAGAGAGAGAGGCACACACTAACGCCAGAATCAGAGAGAGAGAGAGAGTGGCACACACTAACGCCAGAATCAGAGAGAGAGAGAGAGAGAGAGAGAGTGGCACACACTAACGCCAGAATCAGAGAGAGAGAGAGAGAGTGGCATACACTAACGCCAGAATCAGAGAGAGAGAGAGAGAGAGAGTGTGGCACACACAACGCCAGAATCAGAGAGAGAGAGAGAGAGAGAGAGAGAGAGAGAGAGAGAGAGTGGCATACACTAACGCCAGAATCAGAGAGAGAGAGAGAGAGAGTGGCGTATACTAATGCCAGGATCAGAGAGAGAGAGAGAGAGAGAGAGAGAGAGTGGCGTATACTAATGCCAGGATCAGAGAGAGAAAGTGAGAGAGTGGCATACACTAATGCCAGAATCAGAGAGAGAGAGAGAGAGGAAATACTAATGCCAGAATCAGAGAGAGAGAGAGAGAGAGAGGAAATACTAATGCCAGAATCAGAGAGAGAAAGGAAATATTAATACCAGCAAAAAATTGTTAAAGCGTACTGATGTCAATGAGACAAAAATGAAAAAATATGATACTTATATTAGAGAGCGAGAGAGAGAGAGAGAGAGAGAGAGAAACCAAAATGTAAGAATGGCACCAAGGACATAGGATAATAAGACCAGTCATTTAGAGAAACAAGTGGTAAACAATCTTGAACGTAGTGTGAGAGTCAAAGAGTAATAATGTAGCCACAAATGAAATCAAAACAAATTAATGTCAAACTCAGAGGGCATGATAAAATAGAAATAAAATATAATATTGCATTCAATAAGAAAACAAAAAAATAATGTTGTAATTAGAAAGAGACAGGAAGGAAGAAACAAGGTGTAATGATGTTACAATCAGAGAGAAAAATCAGGAAGTGTAAAAGGGTAACAATATTACATTCAGACAGAGAGAGAGAGAGAGAATGTTTATAATAATGAGAGAGAAAGATAAAATAGTTACAATGTTAGAGACAAAAATAAGTAATAACATTAAAATGTAACTGATAAAAGAAAACTTGATCTTGTACCTTTTCTATCAAATATTTCTTCCAGGTTAAACGAAGACTAAAACCATATTTTTGTGGAGTGCTTTAATTTTAGGTTTAATGGTTGAGTTTTATTTTATCAAATAAATCAACAAGCCCTTATTAATAGCTTTTTCATTAAGTGTAAGCATGGATCTGTTGTGGAGCCAAGACAGTCAAACATTAAATGACAAAAAAAATGGGTCAAACGATTCATGCATCCTTCCAATTAATAAACTAATCCTTTGAAAATAAATATTTAGCATTTTTCAACCAATGGGTCACTTTCCCATCGCCAATAATTAAAAAAAAAAAAAAAAAATGCTTTGTAACCCGCTTTTTAGGTTGTATAAGCAAAGTTTCTAGACCAGACATGCCAATAAAGAGATACAGATGGCAATATATGACAACTGTACACGATGTGGCTTCAAAGAGATTCCCTTACTCATTGACCTGTTTTTCTCATCAAGCTAAGAGATGCTTACACTCTTTCTCCACACTTTCTCCCATGTCACTTTTTTCTCTCACACATACATGTGAATAAATCACATTTCTTTTGCTCTTAACAAAAAGCTACAAACAGGGAACTTTAACACTGATACACAATGAGAAAAATTGTAAAACATGAAAATGAAGATATTTTCTATTTTAAAACCTTTCTTGCCTTTTCTTTGTTGTAGGTTGATCAAAATCCGCAACACAGTATTGCCATTTGTTTTTCTTTATATGAACATTCGAGACTTTTGGCCAAGTAATGTCACTTTTTTTCTTTTTTTTTTTTTAAAAAGAGGCCATATTTCAAAAATGGTGAACAAAACAAAGATGAAGATGATTTATATTCAGATTAATTTCTTCATCTTTTTGTTGCTATGGTAACATTTCGACCACAGTGTTCTCTGGGGCGTGTTGATCTGGGTAACCCTCAGGTAATTTCAAAACTGAACTCTTTATTTAATCTATTGAGATTCTATCTTCTGTCCATTCCATGTTTGGTGGAGGATGAACAGGAGATATCCCCTAGACATGAGATCAGAAAGAGAATCTTTCTGCTATTCATATCTTAACATGCTCTCTCCCCATATATATATATATATATATATATGTGTGTGTGTGTGTGTGTGTGTGTGTGTGTGTGTGTATATATATATATATCTCATGTCTTAACATGCTATCTCCCCATATATATATATATATATATATATATATATATATATATATGTGTGTGTGTGTGTATATATATATTGATATGTTCCGGAAAGGGATATATTTGATCGAAGTAGCTAAGTGGGTTTGGCTAGTGTAACCAAGTAGTACATGGTGGCAGTAATCAACTGGTACTCGTCGTAGTCGCAGGTAATAGGTGTAGACCAATAGGATAGCCAATGGTGTAGTCCAATGGGCGGCGTGATAGACAAACTCTGTCGTAGCTACACATCCATCTGTATTTATGACTGACATCAGCCAATCGTATTCCAGTGAGGGGGAACTCAGGTGTATGCACATTTCATTTATATATATATATATATATATATATATATATATATATATATATATATATATATATATATATATATAATAAAATCATCATAATTCATTGAGTGTAGAACAAGAATCCTCAAAAGAATGCAGAAAGCACTGGACAGATGGTTCATCCGTTTTGGAACTCATCAGCACTGTGTATCGACTCCCAAGAACTGAACTTGGGCCGTTAAGATGGAATGCAAACATCATACCACTGGGCCAGCAGGCCTCAGTGACAAAGAGAAAATTAATTGGACTAGATATAGCACAGCTACTCCTTATTCTGGTGGTGATACTCATCCAAGCATACATAACACACCAAGAGCAATATATATTTTACAATACTTATAATTTATTTATTAACTATGATTTTTACAAAAAAGGAGAGGAAAGCATTTAGCATGAGGTTTTATTTAAAATTCAATATTCAGATTTTGCTACCAGCTTCTTGAGTTGCCCAGGAATCATGTCAACTGATTTCACCAGAAACTCGTGTGGTATGGAAGACATAACTTCTTGTAATCGCCCTTGAAGTTCTTCCAAAGTCTTGGTTAGGTATAATAGACTTGCTCCTTTAACCAACGCCAAAGAAAAAAGTTTATTTTTTCTCTATCAAAGAAAAAGAGGGTATTAAGTCAAGACTCCTGACTGGCCATTCATACATAAAATAGGGAGATACTTCACAATCAGCCTGTGTATTCCACTCTCCTTGTCTACAAATATCTTGTTCGGTACCACTCGGTCTGAAATTCACTGGAGGTTAACTGGATTGCTTGACACCTAAAGAAGGTCAGATGACACAACATGTCAAGTTATTGTGATAACAAAGACAAAGACATTAGACTAACTGTAAATCATAAGTACAAGAAATTCAGACAAAAATTATCAAAATAATAGATCATTTATGAGAAAGAATGACTATTTTAACACATTGACTGCCAACCAAAAGATAACTTGTCATTGGCTGGTTTTATTATGACACCCAACTATGAGAAGAGTTATCTTGTGCCAATGAGTTTATTCAGCTTAATCAGAGTGATACTTTTGGTATGTAAAAAAAAAAGTTAAAACTTCAGTTGAAGCTATAAATCAACTCATAAAAATTTTTTATTGCCTACGTTGACTATTACGATGTTGACGTTATAATGTTGGCATTTGAACTCAGATTTTATAATTGATCTCTGGCAGTCATTGTGTTAAACACTGAAGCAAGTCCTAAAATTTTTTATATCAACCAACCATATTTATCTAATGTTCTTATTTTCCCCATCACACTCCAGTTATTTTTTTTTACTCAGCATGAACAGCAGCCAGTTATCTCATTTTATAAACTCGAGTGGACAAAACATACGGCAAAGATGAGGACAATAGTCCGAATAATGTTGTAAATAGTATAGATGAGACCTAATTAATGTAAATTGTGAGAATGCGTCTCCTAAAATTCTAGTTAGTGCTCTTAATCCGCAGCATTGAGAAAAAGCAACAATAATATGAAGTAAAATTTCCTTTATGTGTCATGTCCCAGCAGGACGTAGGCAATTATGGTTCTCCACAACTTCCTCTCTTTTGTAGCTCTTAATAAATTGTCTTTTTGTTTATTCTAAACTCTGTTCCGCCATCCATTTACTGAAACTCATTCTTCCACTTCTATGTGCCATATCCCTTCAGGACTTATATCATCATGGCTCTCCACAACTTCCTCTCTTTTGTAGCTCAATAAATTTTGTCTTTTTGCTATCTCACCTAAACCCTGTTCCACTATCCATTTACTCAAGCTCATTAAGTAGGTTATGTGTTGTTTTCCCCTGTTGCCTTCACAGAGTATTAAATTTTCCAAGCCCTCTTTCCTCATTAAGTGCTCCAGAAATTTCAATTCTTTCTGATGTTAACCATAAGTGTCCTTTCAGGTGCCATTTTCTTTATAACTTTGCTCACATGTTTGGACCATGGTATTCAACATCCTTCTGTAGGAATACATTTCTTTTACCTCTCATCTCTTTTTCAATTGTGAAGAGATTGTCCACCATTCACTGCCATATAAAAGGACTGATATTACATAACAGTTCAGTATTCTTTTTTTGTTTCTAATAAAATTTTTCTATCTCTCAATGCTTAGCTTTTGGAAGGCATCTTTCCCTATCCCAATATGCCTTTGGGTTTCAGTGTTGCACTTTCTGTCCTGTTCTGTGTTAAAATACTTCTCAGATATTTAAATTGTTCTACTTGTTTGATTTTGGTATCTTTAATTTTTAATTTGCCTGTTGGGTTGTTCCTTTTGCTAATAACCATGCATTCTATCTTGCAATTGATGTTTACAAATTTTAATAACAAACCACATAAAAAAAAATAATTCTAATAACAATGACCTTTTAATCATAATTTGGGCTATGAAGAAAGGGAGTTCAGATTTAATAGGAAATAAAATGGAAAATGTGTTATGCCAAGAACCATCTAAAAATTCAGTCATATGGGTTAACTCATTCCTGAAATAGCTATAATTTACAAAGTCGATGAAGACATTGATACACTTTCAAGACTCATCAGGTTACATTGTTCTGATTGAATTTCATATGAGCATTCTGTCAAATTCGTGCAGTCAATGACATTATACTGCCTTTTTTTCTAGTTTCTATCAATAAATAAATTACAGTTCACATCACCTACAAGAAAATGGTATTTGAGATGCTTCATTTTTATCTTTAGATTTGTTCTATAAAAAAGTTGTTTTTTTAAAATCTGACACCAAAGTAATCAGCTTTCCATCAGATGTAAAAATGGCAAAGACCAGATACTGGCCAAATGGGCGAAAAATCTGTAAAATATTAGTTTCTTGAATTTTTTTAATACTTTACTTTATTCATTCTTATAGTCAACTGTTTCATTTTTTTATTGGATAAAAGCAAT